AAAAAAAAAAAAAAAAAAAAAAAAACTACAAAATTCTATTAAAATTAATCAAGCAGAATCAAATTTTTTGTAGAAATAAAAAGCCATTATCATGAAACCCCTCCACAGCTTTACTGTGTGCGTGTCAATGCCAAACAATTTCAGCAAAACAGTCAAAATCACAGTAAACAATTGATTTATTGAAATACATGACCAATGTCACGGTAAATCTTATAAGATCTTATACAAGTCTATTGATTGTCTTCAGAATCAAAGACAAAAGCAGATCAAATCAATGAATGACGCCAGCCAAAATATGGAAGATTACAGTATTGAGATCTTCTCAGTCATAAAGGTCCCTGAAAGTCAGACTCCTGTTAAAAAATAAACAGATACAAATATTACAAATTAACGAACAAACTGAATAAAACAAGCAGTATGGCCACTTGCTACTTATTTAAATCTAGAATGACAAATCCGCCACTGGCGAGCACCTGTCAGGGTAATGTGACACAAGCGGTGTCTCAGGTGTGCTGTGATGAGAGCGTTCTGGAGACAATGATCTGTGAGGACTCAGAGAGCGATGACGGGAAGTGGATGAGCAGCGCATAGTGGAGGAGAGGACGGGAGAAATAGCTGAGAGCCCTTGCCTGCGCAGCTCCTGTACTGCACGCTCCCTAATAAACACGGACAGGACATTCAAATCCTTAGTCTTTACTCTTCAAACCACATATAAACAAATACAGTCAATGCTGGAACTGGAACAACATGAGGATGAGGATGACAGGTTTTTCATTTTTGGCTGAACTGTCCCTTTAAGGTTTGCATCTCACCTTTCAAAGCGCTCAGTGGCCAGGTGTCTCTTGGTCATCTCAACATCTGCCTCCAGCTGGGTTGATCGTGTCCTCAGCTGAGCCATTTGCCTACTCTGAGAACTCCTAGAGACAGGGAAGAAGACAGTAAGTGGAAGACGAAGACAGAAAGAAAGACATGTGTACGTGCTAAACTCACACTTTGCTGTCAGCCATGCTGAGTTTGTCCTT